CACTTTACAGTCTGGTTACCACTTGACAGACTGGTTACTAGTTAATAGACTGGTTACCACTTTACAGTCTGGTTACCACTTGACAGACTGGTTACCAGTTTATAGACTGGTTCCCGCTTGACAGACTGTTTAGATTCTAAACAGCCCGAACCTTGGAGGGTTTGCATGTTCTAAGAACATGCAAACCCTCCAAGGTTCGGGTCCAGAAAGAGAAACCTCAGTCTAGAGCAGATTGATTCAGATGAATTGGTGTGTTTGGGTTCTGGGTCCAATAGGAGGGGGGGTCCATCTAGGGTGTAACTCTGTGATGAAAGTTGGCGCTCTCAAGTTGGAGGCTGATGGACCTACAGTTACTCCACCCCAACGCTTTCATTAGGTTTTTGTATTTTCCAAAAATGAGCTCAAACATCTATTCCTTTTATGCTTTCCTATTATTGAGAACACAAGAGTATTATAATATACTAACATTTATATTTATTGATAGTTAGAGAGAAGCCTTTTACTGCATTAAATATATATATATATATATATATATATATATATATATATATATATATATATATATATATATATATAAACATTAATGTATGAAAAAATAACTGATGCTGATGCCAAAATCTATATATCACGCATCCCTAAAGGTACAATTTCAATTCCATCCATCCAGAAAATTTTGGATATGCTTCATTTTAAATCTAGCATAGCATATTTTCTTCTTGTTAACTTTGTGGTAAACTTGGAGATATATTTTATTGCATGTTGCATATCCCAGTAAATCTGTTTCCCCTTTAAACCTGCAGCTCTCCCTACTTTTCTCTGTGCTGTTGAAAAAGATTTATGAACCTCTTTACTAATATAATAATGCCAGAAACTAAATATCAAGATATGTAGAAGCTCTGCAGTCTGATTCTGTCTGTTCAATAAGAAAACATGTTAATTTTAAGCTGTAACTGGGAATCATGGTCTCTGAGAAGCCAAGATTTTTTTAACTGGTAAAGAAGAACAAACTCCTTTTTCTCAAGCTTCTTTCATTATAATACTGACTTGTGTAAACTTACAATCTGTTGCCATTTTTGCTGAAAAAGCTTTGTATGTCTAACCAACCGATCTTTTGGTGGAATCTCTCATTTATTTAACCGACCCGTCTCCTAACTTTCACACATCAAAGTAGCTGCTGTGTTTCTCTCCCCCCTCATGTAGCTACTATATGTGCAGCGAATAGCGGATAATATTTTGTCTCAAAGCAGCAGATCTGATGAAGTTACACTGAGATGCAGGACACAGGAGCAGCGCATGAGGAAAAAAAACAAAACACTGATTCAAAACACCCTGAACACAGACAGCTGCAGCAAACTTCTGTTACCTTTGGCTAAAGTAAATAAGCGGAAAGGGGGAAAAACTGAGGTTATTGGTGAGGACATGTCCCCACCAGGACTTTAGAAAGTTATGCTTGTGGGTCCATCCATCCAGGCTGGAGCTGGTTCTGCTTTTAAAGTAAAGCAGATTTAAACCTTTAAAAGTCAATTGTTTAACATCATCAAATTCTTCTTGAACCCAGATGGTAAAGTTCTGCCTGGAGATCTGACCCACTACGTGGTTCCGGACGCTGGGGTGGTGCTGAACTACCTGGATGTTCTGGAGCTCACCGAGCTGCAGGGGGTGGTGTTCACCCAGACGGCCTGCGAGGCGCTGCGCAGCAAAGGACGCAGGTAGGAGACCCATGGCTCAGATAGAAGAACATCCGCCGGTTCTGACCACTCTGATTGGTCCCTGCCAGAGGTGTCAAGTAACAAAGTACAAATACTTCATTACTGTACTTAAGTACACTTTTTAGCTATCTATGCTTTACTCCATAACTTATTTTTCTTCCTACTTCTGACATCCACTGTACTTTCCCTTCTTTACATTTGTACTCGTTACTCTTGGCTTTGGTTTAATGTTTCTAAATATTTATTTCCTGTCATGTGCTCCATCCAATGCAGATCATTGACTCCATCCACATCTAGTGAAAAATGGTGTAATTGGATGAGTCATAGAACGCAAACACTCATTGCTTAGCTAAAGGAAATCATCAGAAGCAAGCAGGTGTTATTCAAACTGCAAAAGCGCATTGTCTATGCCGTGCTAGAATGTCGGATTCAGAAGATGTTGAAAGATGTTGAAATGTCCAAAAGTTCGGACACAGGCGAGAGCGTATCGGGACATGGAGACCAACAAGACCTCCCTCATCCTTGGCCCTTTCTCAAAGAATTTTTCAAAATAGTCATAAAATTTAGTTTTCAATTCATATAGTGGCATCTGGCTGTTTTTATTAAAGGTTACTTTTTACTTGGGGGAAGAAGAGACGAGGTGCTTGGGGCTGGGTTCGTCCATCACCCAGGCTGAAGTCACCGAGGTAGTCAAAAAACTCCACGGTGGCAAGGCTTCGGGGGTGGACGAGATCCGTCCTGAGTATCTCAGAGCTCTGGATGTTGTCGGGCTGTCATGGTTGACACGTCTCTTCAACATCGCGTGGAGGTCGGGGACAGTCCCCCTGGATTGGCAGACTCCACAAGAAGGGGGACCGGAGGGTGTGTTCCAACTATCG